AGTAAACAAGGATACATTCCAGCATAGACGACAGGGTGAGCTTTTGCACTGGTCCTGCATTAGGGCAACATTTATGGAACTCCTTCCTTAGATCGACAAATGAAAAGAAACATTCAGGAAGTACGAGATTCTGAAAACAAAAACAATATTTGCTGAAAGTTAGTAAAAAAAATAAAATAATTTTTTTTTTTTTTTTACACAATTACACATATATTTTGATGCCACAACAATCACCTTTTTGGAAGCTTCTGGGTGGAGTGCCTGACGAATAACCAGTGAACTGTTGACACACAATGTATAAGATCCCCTGCCAAGGCATTTTAGTTCTGATGAGACAGACTGTTGAAACTGCAAAAACAAAGAAAATGTTTGGGGATAAGAGGGACTGTCATGAAAAACAAAATAGCTGTCTTAAACCTGTGTTGGCTTTCTGTCAGTGTTAAGCAGGTTTCAAATATCAGTGGTTGTTGTTTTGGATGCCAACCACTTTATTCTTTAGGTTAGGAATGAGACTCATCCAACTGGTTTCTGTGTTTCGTTTGTCATGTAAGGGAGTGACAAGGAACTGCAAAGATCACACCACTCATCAGCAAGGCCCCTTTTCAGAAAGCAAAAAGAAAAAATTCATACAAGAAAAACCTGTCCTTATAAAACTGTGAGATGTGTGTCAGATGAAACATGTGTTGCTTTTGTATTTACAGCTACCACATTTAGCAAGCCCAAATAGTGTCTGTTATGTCAACTTGTTGTTTGTGGAAGCCACCTGCAAACTTCTTAAAAGGTCAATCTTTATGGGGCAAGATTTCATTTAGAACAAGTGCTACATCATCTACAAGGCATAAGTATAAGACATAGGTATCAGGCATACATATGCATTTCTTTGATCATGGCATCTTTAGACTTAGATTTAACTGATCCACAGGGGAAATTACTTGGTCTCAGTAGCGCACACATTACATTATATTACAATAACAAAGAGAATACATAATACATACATAAAGATACAGCTTTAGACTTTATATTTCAAATTCTATATTGCCGGTTTAAAATGTGGGACTTCCTTTGTATAATTATGTGGTTGTACTACGACATGTATAATAGATAACTGATTTCATTTCAATAGGATCATGTAAAGTATAATGCACAAAGTAAAGGAAGGACAGTGGACATGCTGGTTTTGTCAGACCGTCTAGTGCAGAGGTGTCCACACCTTTTTCACCAAGGGTCGCATATACAAACATATTCGTAGCGGAGGGCTGGTAGTCTGGTAGTGAATGCAGCAAGACTTTCAGATGCACACCACCTTTAAAAAGTCTTGGAACACTAGTTCCAGCCCTGATTAGGTTTGTATCACAACAATAATAATTCAGTGATAGAAGCAATACTAATTTGCAATCACAAAAACAGTCTATGATCATTTGGGCCAGTTCACCATGAGGCAAATAAAAATTTGTCAGAGGTCCGCACTCAGCATACTGGCCATAGTTTAGACACCCCTGATCTCGTGTGATCCCTAGATCCCTGGTTGGTTTACATCATATTAATATTGTAACCAGATATATAGAGAAAATACAATAACATCTACAATTTGTAAAAAGCAGCCCAGACAAAAAGCATAGCATGAAGCTCTATCATTCTCTGGCCTCCAAGACCACCAAAACACAATGACTGGGTAATCTGACATGGCCACTGGCAACATATGACAGCATGTCAACATGTATTAGAGGTACTTTGTTCAGACTTGTATTTTGAACAGTCTGAGTGAAATGGCAGGCTATAGGCTAAATCCATGGTCTTTATAGTGTCTAACAAAAGCACACGTATATTTAAAGGGGCATTAGAGATACATCTGGGTTTATGAGGTATCCAGAGCTACATACAGGGTTATTCATGCAGCCACACTATAATACGTTCTTAGGAAAAGAACTCATGTTTTCTATAACTGTGCATGCAGCTCCACCTTGTTGAACTACTTAAGGTGGATTAGGCAAAAGCAAATGTCACACAAAAGGTTAGGACACACCCAGTCCCCCGTCTGTCATAAAACACAGGTTATACATGAAACAAAGAACCTGAAGAGAAGTCAATTCCCAGATTAACACAGAGATCAGATAAATTGAGATTTAAACAAGACCTTTCACTGCACATTATGGACCAAAACCTCTTTTCATCCATTTCTAGTCTGGTCATATTAATTTCTTTAGGTACATTTTCTGAAACTATCAGATAGGGATGCTGATAGTGAAGTGCTGAATGTGGCCTTTGGACATGCTCCTATTGTAATTTGCTTTTCAGTATAGACTCACTATTCCTGTATGCATGATAAACCAGACTAATGGCTCACACGTCACACATGTGTTAAATGCTCCCTGCATATTGCATATTTTTAATGACACCTCTTTGAAGGCAGATTTATGAAGTAACCTAAACTCTTAGAATAGAATTATGTGCTGCATTTGCAATGTTTAAACTTTTGCACAGCACCCTGAGGCATGCAGATGGAAAATGGCTATTTGCTAAATCCGGTGCAAAAGTTTTGTCTCTTTTTAAAAGTTTACTGTGTTTGGATAACGTAACAGCCAAACAAATAAACTAATGTTTTGTTTTGTTGTTTGTAGAAAGGACATTATAGCTTCTAAATAATACCAACACTTGACAATTCACCACTTAAAAATATTTTAATTTGATTGTAGTTGACAATTAAATTGAGAAATTAAGACAGGTGCAAATTTTGTAATTCTCAACTTAATTTTCTCAACTATGCTAGATGAATTGAAATGTGTTATGAGCTTTGACCAAAACCATATGTGAATTTCACAAGTGCATAATCAAGTTGTGGGAATCTTCACATCATGAGTCACTAAAACAAATAGTAACATGTCCCAAATGCCCTGGAACCATATTTCAAAATGTAGCCAGCATGGTCACTCTTTAACAGTCAAAGACACAACTTACTTTTTCGTGTTGCAGCATTAATTATGTTAATACCATGGAGAAGAACTTTATTTTGCCTTAAGTTATCTATACTACGATCAATAGTGAGAGAAACTAACCAGCCAGAGAAGGTATGAGACAAATGGACTGATTACGTTAGTTAATATTTGAAGGTTCAGTACACAAACTATCCAACAGTGAGCTGCAGAGTTGGGCACTAAAAGACTCAGTATTTAAGTCGACCTAATCAACAAATGAATACTGCATAGGGCACTATACATAACTGGAATGAATATCGCAAAGAACTGGCTGCATTGTTAATTGCTTCGGCAAACTTGCACTATAGAAAATATCATTTATCAGATACAAGCACCCATAGAAATAAGACAGGAGTTGACCATGAAGCACGGACCATTTGTAAAATGTCATGCTCCATAGTCTTCAAACACTGGTTCTTGAAAAACATGTTTGGCAACATATGTGAGTAGCAACCAAAAACAAAGCCAAAAGTAGGCCTATGTCTATATGTGATGTTCAGGTTAGATTAATATCAACAGCAAGGTTTTGATATTTTTTCAACTCTGATGTCCTTCAACCCTAAAAAGGTGCGGTCCCAGGTAAACATTCCCCTTTCCAGATGTCTACAGCATGCATCAGGCTGAGACAAGACAAGACCTGTGAGTGCTGCTTATTTGCAGACGCCCCAGGCTGGGCCTGTCCTGGCTCTCAGCGTCTACTAACTGTCAGCATAGGTTAACTGTCAGGCAGGAGACATCACACATCCCTACCAGGTGGAAGCGATTTCCAACAGGCCAATTAAATACTTTTGAGTCAAATCAGCACATCAACACTTTTATAGTTTAAAAAGTGAATTAGGGAATTGTTTATTAATATAACCATATAGTTTGTGAGAAGATTTGCATTAGACCAAAATTAGTTCTAGTGAATGATTATGTTTTATTCTTAGACTTGAATCTATAACGTATAGTAGTTAAGTTTTAGTTTCTTTATGATAAGTAACAAGGACTCACCTGTTGCAGAACTTTGTCTAGAGGCTCAGCTTTGGATAATTCTTCTAGAGTCAGTCCTATTTCTTCCTTACACTGCTCTGTCAGCTCAAAAGTGTCCGGTTTGACAAGACACCTGTGAAGCTTCCCCACCTGTAAATGCACTTAGTGATTCACGGAGTCAAGAAGCCTTTATTACACTATCAGTTAATGCACCCCACACATAAGAAATGAAAACATAAAACAAACAAACAATTGACAACTTTGCACGAAGCAAATGGTTGTCAATAAAGCGTTGATTATTAAGAGATTCTATCTTACCTGTCATGCCAAACCAAATAGGTGTGTTTTCTGCTCTAGCTAAAGTGAAATGGCTATAAATGGTTTTGGTACACCTGGAAGGTGAGCTACAGGCGGCAGAGGGGTAGAGCAGTAGAGCTAGCTTTACACAGCTAGGCCTATGCTCATTCGGAGACACACCAAGTTGATTTAAATGCCAAACTCCTCCACTACAGCTACATTTATGCCACAAACGCTTTGGATACATTAGATAGCATATAACGAAGGGGTCAGGGAGGTCCGTACCTTTTTCTCATGAAGGTCCACAATTTGCCACACCAAGAGAATTATTTCCCTCTCATCCGAACCCAGTTTACCCCCATTTGCACCAGCTGTTGCCCCAAAGAACACCACCAGAGTATCACTGTGCGAAGCCATCAGGGACCACAAGGGGAAAACTACAATTAAAGCAAAGATTTAAATAAAAATAACACGAGGGTTCACCTTTTTCCAAGTGATAAGAAGAGCGAACAAAAGATCTGGAAACTCAATTGAGGTAAACGTAGAGAAAAAGGGGATCTTTTCAGAAGAGCTACGAAAGAGTTTGCGGTCGGAGACTGTACCTGTGTCCCTACTTGAGCGTGTTTTATCCAGAGATACTGGTTTAACTGGAAAAGACGGGTGGAAATCCGTGTTTCTTTCACACGAACTCCATAACAAGCCCTTGCGTTTTTTTTCCTCTTCTATTTTTTCTGAATTACCTGTGGTTGGGCCTGAGAGAGTGTAACAACAGGCACAACGCCCATTGGCTGACGCGCAAAGGTGAGGGCGGGGCCTTATAATGTATACTGTACTTCTATTGGTCCTACTTCCTAAATGAGGAAGTTGGCTGGTCAAACAGGATTTTAATTTCACCATGAAGCGCCATGAAGGTGTTTCTCAGACGTGCGGAGTATTTACTTGAAGACTATAAGACCCCTGCTTTGATTTTAGACCTATCTCAGTCAGCAAGCTAGATTAGGCTATAGTGGAGATCTACATAGACGAATCAGCTTTTTATATATAAGTAAGGCCCAATCTAAAATAAAAATAATACTTGTTATTTGATCGTTCATGATAGAAAACAACTCGCAAATTTCACTTCCATAAACAACAATGAGCCATAGATAAAGGCTGCAACTGCATGGAGTAGTCTGAATAAATATATTGGCCCAGTACCTCCCCAGATAAGACACACTATATTGAAAGATTTATGTATGGGCCAATTTGGGGAAAAAAAACTCCGGTTACAGAGGATAAGATGCTTTATCAATCATTTAACTTTATTGGATCATTTATTGTAGCACTCTACTACTGCCATCTGCTGGTTAGATTTAATAAACAAATGAAGAAGAAATAATATTTAATTCAGCATCCTGTATGACTCTCTTTCTAAAAGGGAAATTAGCCTATATGCGCACAAGTAGACTTTATTCTACTTTGTGCATGGCAAGAAAAGGAACATGCTGCTTTTTGTTTTGCAACACTTTGAGAGGAAGTGGCTGCATGGTTAGGCCTTTGTAAGCACATTTACTTGATAAAATGTATTATATAAAATATTATAATATGCAGATGCAGCATATTATCCTTCAAAACTAAGTTACTAAGTTAGTAAACAACATGATTTATTTTGAATAAAAAAACATTTAACATTTTAAGGATTATTGCAAGTGAAATGTGTCCTCAGTTCATACAAACAAATTGCAAAATGTTTAATGTACTTAAAATGAATAGTCTCTGGAACAATTATCATAAAACAATGTCCATTTGATCTTTGGATTCTTGACAGACAGAGCTGCTGGTCTGCCTCTTTGACACAAATGACACCTCTCTGTTGCCTTCCCCTGGAGATGTGCTGGAGATGTGCCGGAGAAGTTTCTGTATCCCAGTGTCCCGTATTGAAGTTCTGAAGGAGCGGGCAGCAAACATGTACAGGATGGGGTTCACAGTACTGCTAATGAAGACCATGGCCCCTGCGATAAAAGCCATAGTGCTGCTGACACTCTCTAGACTTGCAGCCTGTTCTGGGTAGTATTTCTCAATTGCAATAACAATGAGGGAGACAATATTTCCAATGTGATGAGGAGTCCAACAAATGCCAAACACAATAACAACACTGGTAATCAGAATGGTTGATTTTCGCTTTGATTTAAATGTCATCTTGGTGATTTTGCTGCAAAGACATCCATAACATATGACCAGAATGGAGAAAGGAAGCATGTAACCCACAAGTGTTTCAAGCAGCACAAACACCAATTCCTGCGTTTCAGATTGATACTGACGGTAAAGACAGTGTTCATAACCTTTTTCTCCATCTACAATTTGAGTTAATATAACTGGGATGCTAAAAGTGAATGCTGCAATCCACAGACAGACCAACAATTGATTTAGAGCTTTCTTTTTCTTCCAGTGAGCTGACATAAGAGGATAACGAACTGCCACAAAGCGTTCCACACTCATCAGTGTGATGAAGAAAACACTGCTGTACATACATGTATAGATAAGAAAAACCATAACTTTGCACGTAGGCTCTCCAAAGACCCAGGAGTGAGCCAATGAGTAGATCCAAAGAGGCAGTGTGATGAGTACCAGAAGATCAGCAACAGCCAAGTGGAGGATGAGGATGATGGTATGGGAGCGCTGTTTGACATGTCTTACAATAGTCCAGATGACAAGCAGGTTTCCAGGAGCTCCAACTAGGAAGGACAGGCCCAGAATCACACAAGGCCCTACAATCCCAACATCGATTTCAGAAGCCATTTCCTTTGAGATTTATCTCATGTGAGTTGTGAGGACCAGAGTGGATGTGCTGAGTCTGACTGTAGTGTCTGCATGAGAAGGCAAATAAACTGCAGTTCCTATAGTCTTCAGTTCCTCTTTGGCACAAGCACCGGAAATTACATTCCTCATTAGGCAATTTGTGAACAAACTATTGACTTCGCATGAGTCATAATAATTTTTAAGGAGAAAAGTTGAAGGACTAGTACAAATAGCCAACAAAAAGCCTGCTTTAGATGTACATGTCAAGCAGATAAGATGAGTTCTTTTTAGGCCATATTGCTGAACTATGGGCTTATTTGAAAAATAGTGCAGAGAATTGGCTACTAGTCTGGATCCCAGGCAACAGCTTCCTCCCTCCCCACAGTGTTTTAACTGTCAAACACTATGAATTTAAAAAAGTACAACCCGTTTAAGCTCATTTGGAATTGCAAAATAAACATATTTCATATTTTCCCCCATGCATGGACTAACACTGCATTGCTTTTATTTTAGATGTGTTTTTTTTTAATCAAATATTTTGTAAGGCAACCTTACTTTTTCATTGCTTAGTCAGACTCTTATAAGTCTTACCAGCTTGTCAAAACAATGCTATTTACTGCTTTTTATAAAATACAATTAATATAATGCAGAACTGAGTTAAGCCAGGCCCACCACAATATTTTCTGTTTCTCATGTGGCCCCATGGAAAAAAAATTATTGCCCACCCCTGCTATTGCCTATGCCTGCCCATTTTGTTTTCATTTTATTGCCTAAATATAAATAAAATGCCCATGAATCCATGGATGCATGCCTAGAACATCAAAGAACCTAATTGAAAATTGTGAGAATGTAGCTAAATGTTTATCTAAGCCTGTAAACACACGCTTACCATATAATTTTATAAATAGAAAAATATAGATGAAACGCGATCCCCGCGAAACATAAGTGCGCATGGCAGTGCGCTAAAGGTGCTCACTTCCTGTTGCTGCTGTCTGTCTGCTCCAGGTCTGTTCCACGGTCTGCTCTCTATAATCAAACATGGCGTGTTGTCAGTGAAGGAACATTGAATCTGCAAAATGAAATAGACTTGGCCTGCATGTTATTGCAACATAACATCGTCAATTGTTGTAAGTTTTGCTTTTATGATCTCAGTGATAAAGACAGTGTGCCATTTGTGCGTTGTTTGACATGAGCTAGGCGATCTGAACTAGCGTTCGTAGCGCTATGTGGTAATGTTAGCCAGGTAAACAGCTGCTGGCAGGGGCGTCAACTCTAGATCTTACTTTGTTGGCCCTGAGCTGTTCTGGTAACTTCGGTCAGTATATTAATATTACATGTTGTCAACTAAGAAACAAACGCGTTCGGCCCTGGAGTGTTGAATATGTTCATTTTGAGTCTGCTATCAGGAACTTAAGCTAGCGTACTTGTTCGGTAAGTAGCTTTTAGCCAGCCTAGCATTCGCTAACATTGCATTATTTGTTAGTGTAGCTGCGCAACATTTACTACTATCTGTTTTAAGTAATATGACTAGAATTTCCTTCATAGTCAACTAGTAGGTCTGCATATAGTCTACAAATACCCGTGTTCCTGCTTGTTAACTATTTTAATCCTCTCCCCCATGTTTGTTTACTCCAGACATCACAGGACTCGATTATTACACGCGCCACAATGCTGCTGTTTTTGGAGAGGTTTCCATGGCCCAGCCTGCAGACGTACACGGCCCTGAGTGTGGCATTGCTTGCTGGGAGTATCTTCAGTGCCTATACTACTGTCACCGACCCAGGGTTTGGGACTTTAGAAGCAGATGAAACGCCCGTCCCACCAGAAGTGGAAGTGGATCAGTTAAACAATGACATGAGCAACAGAGAGCTGGCCACTACAGTGTTGTGGTATCTTGTCACAGACAGTCTTTTTGTATGGGTGAGTCCTACACAACTCAACTTCCAAATTTACTGACTGTATCTGTATGAATTAACCTTTTAACCTCTTTCATTCTGGCAGGTTTTGGTAAACACTTTCTGTTGTTCATTGATGTTAATTGCTAAGATGATTCAGTATGTTGTATTTGGTCCACTAAGAGTTAGTGAGAAGCAGGTGAGTCTGCCATTTGGGAATAGTTGGCAGTGTGTATACAGTACACACATTTTCAGTCTTTTATTAAATCAATCATATCATCAATCATATGCCTATATTCTCCCACAGCACCTGAAAGACAAGTTTTGGAACTTTATTTTCTACAAATTCATCTTTATTTTTGGAGTACTGAATGTGCAGACAGTAGAGGAGGTGGTCATGTGGTGTTTATGGTTCTCTGCTCTGGTCTTTCTCCACCTCATGGTTCAGCTCTGCAAAGACAGATTTGAATATGTAAGTTTCTAATTTCTATATGTCATGTGTAATTACAAATTAAGTTTGCATTTTATTACCATTATGAAATGAGCTACATGCTACATAATCATGCCTATTAAACTGAGTATGCATATCCACAGTGAGAGTGTATTTGATCCTTCATATCTATTAATAGTGGTTTGGACTGGCTCCTGCAGCTGCTGCTCCTTGTGTTAAATTTACATATTCAGGGAAAAAAACTATATATTTTAAATAAGACTGTCATTTTGCTGTTTGTAAATAATTTGCACTGTTTTGCAAATCAGTTGTGCATGCTACGATTAGCAGTTGCAGTTAACACCCCATGTTGGTATGCCATCTAACTCAACAGTTTGCTCCTCTTTAAGCAGCACTACAAATAACATCATGAAAGCCTACATTGTTTAATTGCAGTTATTTTTACAGAATTTGCACAAGTTTAATCATTATGTTAATGGTTACAGCTATCATTTTCACCTTCCACACCCATGAATAGCCACATACGAGTGTTGTGTCTACTGGTCTCGCTGCTCTTGGACTGCTGTGGCCTGGCCATTGGCTGTGGACTTCTAGGTGCTTCCCATGGCTTACACACACTCTCCTTTATGGCAGCAGAGGTGAGAATCTGTGACAATCCATGACCACAGCTTGTGACAACTATATTTGGTTCCATAACTATAAAGTGTATTTTGTGTTTTATCTTTGACTGTATGAGAATTTCCAGACCTATTTTATGTAACTTTACTTTAAACATCTATATAAAATAAAAGTCTAAAAAACCGTAATATTTGTACACTTTCAGACTTTTCTAAAACAAAACGTAGCAATCACATATTTCAATCTCTAAAGCTATCATCTGTATGTTTATTGTTTATTTATTACTGCTGATTCAATTATTAACATGTTTATCTAAAGCTGATTGTGACAAGAAAGTAATTCATATTTGTTTGTTTCTCAGTGTTTGCTAGTGACTGTTCGTACTGGTCATGTCATAATGCGGTACGTGCTCATGGTTTTGCATGTGATTTCCCTTGCTATAATGTTGTCATCTCTTTTTTCAATAAACTAATCACTATTTGCATTTGCCTACAGCTACTCAATTCATTTGTGGGATCTAAACCATCCTGGGACTTGGGAAAGTAAGGGCACATATGTCTATTACACAGACTTTATCATGGAATTGGCTATGCTTTTTCTAGACCTCATGCACCACATCCATATGTTGGTAAGTCCGTAATGACAGTAATGATTGTGTAACTACTTAGCCCTTGAACAGAAGACTCCATAATTGTCATTTTTCTGTTCAGCTCTTTGGTAACATTTGGTTGTCAATGGCAAGTTTGGTCATATTTATGCAGCTCCGTTATCTATTCCATGAAGTCCAGCGCCGCCTCCGCAGACATAAGAACTATCTGCGTGTTATTAACAACATGGAGGCCAGGTTTTCATTTATTTATTATTTAGATGTTTTTATGGCATGTTCCTATGTTGTTGATATGTTTAAATTTCAAACACTTGACATTAACAGATTTGCTGTTGCCACACCCGAAGAGCTGGCTGCTAATGATGATGATTGTGCCATCTGCTGGGATACCATGTTTACAGCTCGTAAACTCCCATGTGGACATCTCTTTCACAAGTAAAATTTATTCATCTAATGTTCTCAGAACTTGTTAATGCATTTTTTTATGTGTAATATTTTCTATAGTATGATATAAGTAAGTTATATTTGTACTATTTATGTCTATGCCTGTTTTCTTAGTTCATGTTTGCGTTCCTGGCTAGAACAGGACACGTCGTGTCCTACATGCAGGAAATCATTAAACATTAATGGTGATGGTGTTCAAACAAGAGATCAACAGCAAGGTCCAGCTTTGGAGGACAACATTGGCGCTGGAGGGCCGGCTGCAGATGCCAGACCACACATTAACCAACATAACCACTTTTTCCACTTTGATGGTAAGCATATGGGACAACTTGGAGTATATTGATAACTCTTGTCTCTTAAGTTCCTTTCCTTCCTGTTTAAACTGTGTGGGCATCTGTTGACAGGATCCCGTATTGCAAGCTGGCTGCCAAGTTTCTCTGTTGAAGTTATGCACACAACCAATATATTGGGTATTGCTCAAGCAAATAACTCTCAGCTTACAGCTATGGTAGGTTTGTTCTTTAGTATTTGTTCATCTGTATTTTGAATCAGATATAATTTATGAGAAATCTAGTTTGATCACTGAAAGCGATGTGATTTCTTTTTTCCTCCTTTGGGTTAGGCCCATCAGATTCAGGAAATGTTCCCACAGGTGCCCTCCTACTTGGTAATGCAAGACTTGCAGTTGACAAGGTCTGTAGAGTTAACTACTGACAATATTTTGGAGGGTCGCATTCAGGTCCCTTTTCCTACACAGGTTGGTCAAAAAGGATAAAAAGTAAAAGGTGGCTTTGGTTGTAATGTTTTAAATGTTGCTTTGACTTTACTTCAGGCCATTGAACGAGGTCCAGCACAGGGGAACAATGGCCCAGAGCCCCAAGCTGAATCTAGTGGAGTAGTAGACCAGGCTAGTGCTGAGCCAGAGAACATTGAAGCCAGAGGGGGGCGCTTTTCCAAGTCTGCTGAGGAGAGACAGAAGATGCTAAAACAGCGTAAAGAAGAGATGCTTCAACAAGCACGCAGGTCAGTCTGCTCACCAACAGAAAAAGATTTTTCTTTTGTTCTTGGCGTGTGAAATAAATGCTGAATCTTTTTTTTAGGAGATATCTGAACGTGAGTCCTGAAGACCAAGATGAGGATTTGCCGAGTCTTGAAGATGATACTGCCACAGAATTGGACTTGAATGTGCTAAGACACAGAGCAGTTGCTACAGCTACAGAAGGACAAATGCAGGATCACTCTGTACCTTGAAAGTTCTTCAGCAATGCTGGCAAAATGATGCATTTTCCTCCATGAGGCACAGAGTTACTTTGGCCACAAACCATTTGGTATTCTATCGACGCTTATGCCTGTTCATGTGGTCTTGTGGCCACTAGAGTTCAATGTGTTTGATGTGAATGGCCTACATCATTTATTCCAGGCTATGTTTGGAATTTTGTGTTGTGTGCAAGTTCTAAGGCCTTTTTATGTGCCACGTTCTACACCTCCTCAATTTTCAAATGAGCAAGTTGTAACATTTAATTTTTGAACTGGCCCAAGTTGGCATGCTTTGCAATTTGAAATCATATTTTGGTTCAGCATACCTATATGGAACTGATTTTAGTTTTTATTGTTTTTTGGGGGGATTTTTAAGCTTGATTATTCCAGATGAAGAACCCCATTGTCATTATTAACCTCTTGTCATTTGTATGTCTTTTCACTGTGAATTACATACAAGCTAATGACAATGTTTTACTTATCTTGGAGTAAGAGAATGTCACTTTAGTATTTTTGAGCCTTGTCAAATATGAATGTCATAAAATGCTGCGTGTTACAGCCTGAGGGTTTTATTAAAAAAAAAAAAGGATGGTGGACAGCAGTTGGCCATGCACTGTGTATATAATTTTAAGGGTCAGTGATTTTGACAAAATACGCCATAGTCTATAAATTTAATTTGTATTAATTTAAGATGAGCAATATAAGAAAACAGAACCCCATCGACAGCCCTGTTCCCTTTAAGTAGAAACAGTTCTAAAAAAAATATCTAATTATTTTTATTAAATTGGAGTCTCTGCGAACTAAAGTTTGTGTAGAGTACATGAATTAAATTTGATTGAAATTCTTATTCTCTTACCTATTAAAAACAATGTTAAACATTGTTTATATTGGTACGTCTTGGATACATGAATCCAAACGGTTATTGGACAGAAGAAACAGTACAATTCCGTGTGTCATGCACCTCAAAAGCACACAAAAGTGCCCCCTGGATGCATAATTAATTTGGAATTATTGTAAAGTTTACACATTCCCTATTCAAGTTGTAATTTGTGCCTAAATTAGCAATTCTGTAAAGTTTTTAGTCTTGTTAAGACTGAATTCACAGAACATTAAATAAATGGTGTCAGGAGGTTTTAAAAATATTTTTTTCTATTTCAGTAAGTGTTCGTATCCTTTTAGATTTCCAGAATAAATAAATAAATAATAAAAATTATATATATGTGTGTGTGTGTGTGTGTGTGTGTGTGTGTGTATACATACACAGTAAGCCTGCTGATTTAAAAGTGAGAAGTGAGAAATCACACCAGACTTTTTTTTTAATTGATCCATGATTCAGACTAAATAATGAGAGAGAAGACGAGAGAGAGAGAGAGAGACAAAGAGAGAGAGAGAGTGAGCGTGTCCATTGACGTCATTGTGCTGCGCCCTATCTGCCACGTCATACAGAAGTGCTCTCTCTTGCGGAAAGATCACAAACCACACACACCGTACGATGAATGAAAGCGATGGTGTTGACTTAGGCCAAATAATGCTCTCAAACTATCACTAAAAGTTATCCGTGGTACCTTACGGTTGAATACGACATATACAATTTGTGAGACATCTGTCCTCTATTTCCTGCGTGTAATTGGTAAGTTGTAAAGGTATTTCATGTACTCATTTGTGTCAACTCAGAGCGATGTAAACTATTTGCAATATACTATTGTTCATAATATTGTAGGAACACGGGTATTTGTAGACTATTGTAGTGTAGTGATAGTAAGTTGACTTGTGAGCTTATCAAGTACTTATGAGTCACTACTCTGTGTGCCTTGAGGAAATCAAATGTCTCTAAGTCTGTCAGAATCTAGTGTCAGTGAACACAGGAAGACAAAGTCTTAGAGCTCCTGTAAACTTCACTTGTAGTGTCACTGCTAGTGTCTATTATGAATGAGTTTCTATGTAGCTAGTTCGTTATTTGACTCATTTTGACCTGGTTATATCCGGGAAAGACTCACCTATCACCTCCATAAGATTGCAGTTTTTCTGGACGGGCCTAATAAGGTCTAGGGAAGGCATGTCCAAACTATGGCCCGGGGGCCAAATGCGGCCCTCAGACTTCCAGGTGATTTGGCCCAAATTACCTTGCATCAATTAAAAAATATTTTTTTACTGCAAGTTTTTTGAAAATCTACCTTGATAAAGCCAATGTTGAATATTTAGTGTGTGGTTTTAAGGATCTTAGGATGAATAAAGACGATGGCTCATTCTAACGTGTTAATCATGTACATATTTCAATTATTAACTGTATTGAGCACCCGTCTACGGCTCTCGATCGGCCCTCTGCTTTGTCTGTGTTTAGATATGTGGCCCTTGATGAAAAAAGTGTGGACACCCCTGGTCTAGGCACAAAGTCATTTTCTGTTTGCCTGGTCAAGGTCTGTCTAATATTTGTTCCTGACATAGCTCCAAGATATCGTCTGACTAAAACCGTGACGTGTAATTTATTGATATATTATTACATGGGTGTGTCTGCATGTGTCTTTGCACTAATGTGGCAGAAACCTCTGGAATGCTGCTGGACGAGACACCACTCTTTGATCCTGCGCTGCTCCAGGATTTGGACTGGAGCAGTAATAGCATCTCCTTTTCACCACCCATCTCTCCATCTAACCCCGGAGAGGGCCTAACACTCAGGCCACTCTGCACAGCCGACTTCAAGAAGGGTGAGCATACCAGAAAACAGTACTTTTCAAGTGTTATTCTGTGCATAGTTTTTCCACAGTCAACACCAGAGCTTCATGATAACTTTTGTTTCAGGCTTTTTCAAGGTCCTTTCTCAACTTACCAAAACTGGTGATGTTACCCCAGAACTATTTATAAGTAAGTACAAGCAACAGAAAAAACATCTAACAGTTAATGGGTATGGAGTGAATGAATAATGATCTGTAAAGCATATTTGTGACATATTTGTATGAATAAAATCTTACATAATAATACAGTAAGTTTTCATCTAAATTCCTCTTTGTCCCTTAATTATTGTGTTAGTATTTACACATTTTAAAACTGGCAATATTTACAAAACTATCAGAAATGCAAGAGCCCTAATGATGTTCTAGTTTTATGATATCAGTTTTTGGTGCAAGGGAAGGGCCAGAACAAGTGGGGCACAAGAGGCACCAAAGGAGAAATGTCACTTTAGAATCCATAAGCTGTTGTTGGAGCTTTTTGATTTGGTTGCTTGTGGGAATGGGATACGTATAGCTCATCTCTACTAAAAGTACATAATATACTGAAAACAAAGAGGACTGTTAATATTTTGTTTGCCCTTAGAAAAGTTTGACCATATGAAGAAAACTGGAGACTACTATGTGGTTGTAGTGGAAGACACACAACTTGGGCAGATTGTTGCTACAGCAACACTCATCACAGAACACAAATTTATACACTCATGTGCAAAAGTATGTATTTTTAAATTGTATATTTTTTTAATTAAAATGCAAATAATAAGATACATCAGAAGACTTAAATATTTATCTTGTATTTGTAGCGAGGCCGAGTGGAGGAGGTAGTGGTAACTGATGTATGCAGAGGAAAGCAGCTGGGCAAATTGTAAGTAAAACTGTATACTTTTTATATGAAAAGTTTATTATTAAACTCATATTTTTGTTCTCCATAAAGGCTAGTTGCAACTCTTATTCTACTCAGCAAAAGACTGGATTGCTATAAAATCACATTGGAATGTGCACCCAAAAACGTCACCTTCTACGAGAAGTTTGGCTACAAAGCTTCAGATGAGACCTACATGCAGTGTAGGTTCTTTGACTGAGATCAAAGCTGTGCAATATGGACCTTTGCACATGCTCAGCTAATGAAACGGTATACTGAAGAACCTTATAAAATTTATAATTATAGCTTACATCCAATGCAAGTTTACAAAAATATTCATTTGTGTCTGTTTTAAAAATCACAGTATGTAGCAAATAATCAAGTGTCTTAAATTACAATTGTATAAGATTTATCATCACTACATTCAAAGGCTGTGTGCCTTTACCTAAAAAGTCTCCAAAGAAAAGCTTTTTTCAAGTTATTTTTTCTGTGAGGGATGTACTTTTGCTATATTAAATTGCTGTCCAGTTTTTATACTATGTAACATTATATGGATAAATGTGGGATATTTAATACAAGGGAATAGAAGTGATTTATCAGCTTATTTAAACTTCTAGTTTTGGGATAGCATAAAAATGCAAATACTATTTAATGTAATTTATTAAAATATTTTTTCTGTATTCTTGTACTTGAAATCTTATGACATTGAACTCTAACTTGAAAAGAAATTCCACCTTGAGTCAGACTTGTTTTATTAAGCAGCAAGTTATTTTCCATTTCTTACCATTTATTAAGCCTGATATTAGTCCATACTCCATAGTCCTATACTTCCAATAAAAGGCAATAGCTACTCCACTCTAACATCCATGGCCTTGTTTAGTTTAGCCAACGGCCCTTTTCTGGAGATCTACACTAATTCAAGTATTGAAAGTGCATTATTGCAATACTGTCCCGCTGCAAATGCAAAATGCTTTAAATACTATAAAACTGCAAAATATCACCTGTCAGTGCATACAATGAGAAAAAAAAAAACAAATTCCCTGCAAAAACCCATGTCTCAGACATGAGCCATCATCCCCATCCCTCCCCTGTACAAAAAGAGTTCAAATATCTACATTTTTAATCCCATTAAAAATGTAAAAATGAGTGCAGTACGCTGCATGTAAGCCAATCTTATCCATTCTGTGCAGCTGTAACCTGCATTGTTCCAAAGTCCTCATCTTCCTCCAGACTGCGTTTACGACTCCCTGTAAAGAGTGAGGTCAAGAAATAAGTGATTTTTATTTTATTTCAAGAACAATTCTACAAAATTAAAGCTGCGTGATATGTGTAAATTCTATTGCAGAACACAAATTACAAGTTTTAATTTGGGCTGCAACAAACAATTTTGCTTCATAAAAATTAACATTAAATTACAGAAGGCATGCCTTGACCATGTTATGACATGTCCGTGTACAGACCACAGATATTGATAATCAGTTTTCATAATTTTTTTTTTCATAAATTAAATAGTGGATTAATCAACACAGCCTTACATATTCTGGTGTACCTATATACGTGTTTTGCATGTTATATTGAGCCTGTGCTCTTAGTTCAATTATAACTGAACTTGGGTTTTTAGTACCTGCATATAGACAACACACAATGCTCTTATGCTAAATATTGTCTGTATAATCAGTCATCCAGGTAGGATCCGTAGCAAGATACATAGCAAAAGGAGAAAAAAAATCAATTCAAGTGGACAAACATTTTGAGTGACTGGACAAAAAAACTCTTGTCCAGTTGACAGAAATTATTTTTTCTTGTGCCATTCTCCCATATGGACAAGTATCCAGATGCCTCACATGTGAACCCCCATCATTCACTGAGCTGCAGAGGCTACATTAGCACTGATTAACTGGCTGCAGCTGCTGGAGTATTTATATCAGAGTAAGTAATTTTATGTTTAAACAAACTGGATTTCAGTACTGAAACTGGCAACCAAAAACTCATGTGAGGCTCATTTTGCATTGAGATTGGATAACATCAATTGTAACAAACAACTTGTCCATCATGTCCAATGTTTTTTCCTCTTCTTTGTTTCTAACAATTCTAATGCTGATTTATTCTTATGTTTAAATCAAAATTTTACATATGTTCCATCATGTAAAATAACTTGAATAATACAAACCTGGTCCTCCAGCTTGCAAGAAAGATCTGCCCAGCTGCACTGGTGACATCATTTTAATAGTCAATTTGGCCAAGTAAATAGCTTCATATTCCTTGGAAAAAATATTGACAGTAATAATTCTAACATGCATATATAAATATATAAGTTACCTTGAATGTGTAAATAACATAATCACTGGTACCTGTAGTTGATGCACAAAGCCCACATTGGGGTTGATGCAGAACCTCCTGTCCTGAACATGACTAAATGCATCCCTAAGGAAATATTAAGAGCATCTTAAAATGCCACACCTACATGCCATTTACTGCATGAAATATAAGGCATTAGCTATTCCATGTACCTGTATTTCATTCCAAAAGTTTCCATAAGGTATGCAATCACTAAGGCAGCACTGTACAAAATATATTTTAGAAAATAATATTAACATATGGGATTATGAATGAAGTATTAAAGAACGCCAACCAACCAACCTTCTTGATATCCCCGCATTTCCATGAACCAGAACCTTTCCTTAAAACAACATAATGTTTCATAGTTAAATGTATGTATTCATATGGTATTTGAAGAGCATTTGCAGACCCTTACCTCCAGATGCTAAACAGTTATCAATAAATTCTTTAGTCTGTTAACACAATACAAGTCATCAACTATAGAAGTCACCATCACACAAGATAAGTAAAGCCCAAATTATAAATATATATTATATATATATTTTTTGTTTTTTTTGTTTAATGGGTAGAATACATATTAGTGGGCCAAGAGACCAACAAAGATAATGTGCTAAGTTATTTGCAAAGATTTTAATGAACAAATAATTGTCTTTAAATATTGTGCTGTTTAAGAATAGACAAAATTCACTTCCAAATGTAGACCCTATTTGTCTTTACAAATCTCAGCAACCCCTCACTTTGGGCCCCCTGATCAAGATGAATGCTTTTAAACTCACCATGGGGAAAAATCGTATTATATTCTCCACTGGTTTGTCTGCAATGTCTAACACCAGGTATCTGTAAATAAAACCACATTCACGCATTGACACTGTAACAGCAGAATAGCACATTAAATACAAAAACGCACTCACCTAAACGTATGTGGAAAATTAGGTTTGATAAAGTTTGCCTCAATATCTTGACGCACGCACACGATGTGTGTTATACAGTGTCTTTCCAGAATTGGAAGCTACAAATTGTAACGCATTAACAGGTTATACGTCAACACATTACCAATAAATGTCATGTTTTATTATACCTTGCTCTTCATTGCAGCAGAGTAGGGACCCAAAAATAGTCCTGGTAAAATCTCCTAATGTTGAAAACAACATCAATAGACTAGATAAAATGCTAAATATGTTTAGAAAATAAAACAAAACACACAAACCTGCATTTCTCGTCTCATTGGGTAAGCCCAGTCCTGCAACAGACAATGTGAAGGCAAAGTTTAGAAGTCATTTCGGATGTGACAGCAGCTGTCCAAGATCAGCAACGTTGCACAGCTCCCAAAACTGTTAGCTTAGCGGAGTTGTGTAACAAATTTCGCTAAGAGTAAAAGCTACACTGTCAGACATCATTCGTAAACACTGTACAAATGCTACATTTAAACACATGGATGTATGAAGCCATTTTACAGTATTTCACTGCGTGCTGACTTTAATCAAAGAACAAGAACCCACAGCTAGATAACGCCAGTCGCAGGGGACATGTTAGAAATGTTAGCCGATAGCGCTCACCAGAAGCTCCTCCTCGGTCACAGGCAGAGTCGGGAACTGGAGTTTGCTTTCACCGTCCATTCCTGCAGTATATCCAAACACGGTCGAGCCAACTTTTCACGGATGCAACGTTTAGCCTGCCCCTGTTAGCTCATCGTTTGGTGCAGTTTGTTTTGCGGATGCACATGTACGTCCGCCATGCTGCCCCTGTCAGCTCTGTCACGTGATCGTGCCAGAGAAGTAACCATGACACCTAGCGGCCGATCATAGACATGCTCTATGCTCTGGAGCGGCCCATCATAGATATGTTCTTGAGTATTGTTTCCCAGGGAGTGGGAAACAATACTCAATACAGGAGTGGCTCCTGTGACCCTAAGGTGTGTCGCAAGATATTTTTTTGGGGTCGCCTGATATGCGCCTGATATGCGTGGACCGTCTCCTCCTGTATCCCGGACTGGAATGCGCTACCAAAACCCAGACAGGCCCACCTATCTAATTAGAAATGTTGTCATGGTTTGTATAATTTCTGGTTCAGAGAGATACGATCACGCAGTCAGCAATAAAATATCTTCTTTAATATTCAGTATCCAATCCACCTTTATTTTGTGATTTAGGAATAATGTCTATTGACCTGAAGGAATTGTGAAGGAACTATGCTAGTCTAGACTGTAATTCTGGTGAACATAGGACAAAAATGTTGTGAGCATTTCAGGCCTGTAAAGAGGTAGCAGTTTATGCCTATTGCAATAGAGAACAACTCAAACATTAAAATAAAAGTGGCAAGAATTTGTATCTGCCACAAATAAATTCAGACTTTACAGTTCAGTAAAGTTCTGGCAATATATACAGTCTATGGTTCTGGCGCGTTAACATTGCATGCCAACATTGTGGCCACTTGCAATGACTACTTCAAAACAATTAAAATGTGGCCCAAGTGGCTAGACGTAAAGCCTACTATTTGTCAATCGCTCATAGAGTGTATGCAGTCGCTTCATGTAGGCCTAAGGATCATTTTAGCCAATATTTTTGGCCACATGCTATTTAGAAAGTGCGTGTTCAATTTTGAGCAGTAGATGGTGACAAACACAAGACACTGAAAAAACTAGCAGCCTGGTGGATTCAGTCGGTGGTAGCCAGTGTTGGGAAGGTTACTTTTAAAATGTATTCCCCTACAGATTACAGATTACATACCCCAAAATGTAGTTTGTAACGTAATCCATTAAATTACTTATGGAGAGTAACGTAATCTGAATACTTTGGATTACTTGATTTGTTGAAGAGAATCAAAGACTAGGAAATCTTCACATAAGATGTTTTGTCTGCTAAAAGAAAATAAAAGCCCAGACTTTACTTAACCAAATAAAAAAATATTATTGATAGAAGAGGAGGAGGCACGGTCCACGCAGCATGGTTTAGTCCTGTTAAATCCTGTTTGAGACATAGTTTAGGCCTGGTTTAGTCCTGGTTTAGTCTCGGTTTAGTCCTGGTTTAGATCTGGTTTAGACCTGGTTTTAGACCTGGTTTTAGTCCTGGTTTAGTCCTGATTTAGTCCTTGTTTAGTCCTGGTTTTAAATCTGGTTTTAGACCTGGTTTAGACCTGGTTTGGACCTTGTTTAGTGTCCGGCAATGAGTGGAATTACCGAAAAAAAAAAAAAAAAAGGGATATAGCCCAAAATGTGAAAACAGGAAAATACCACAGTGTAATCCATTTATTTCAACAAAGTAACTGTAATCTAATTACCACTCACTGAAAGAGTAACTGTAACCGAATACAGTTACTCATAATTTGTACTCTGATTACGTAACACTGGTACATGTAATCGGTTACTCCCCAACACTGGTGGTAGCCATATACTGTGTAGGCCTAGGCATATATGTAGTATGCCTATGGAGATTGGTGGGAGGGGCGGGGGCTTCTGCCTGAAAACGTTGCACAGTATGGCATTAAACTTATTTAATCAATTACAGTAGGTTTATCTCAAATGGGTGTAGTTTTTTAGCCTTTTTAAAACCTGTCTTTTGCACTTGTTAAGGAGTTAACTAGCTCCAACAAATCATTCCAAAACGACACAATGCAGGCGTAAAGAGATACAAACAAAGGAGCAGCCTTTGGTGCTTAATTGCAAGGTGTTAAGGAGTCTGAATAATATGTGGGCTCTTAAATGTGTATTTACTGTAGTATTTACTGCAGAGCCTCGCTAGTCTCTGATGAGGTGAGTCGTGCTTCCACTAGCGTGCTATCAATCCTGCTTCATTAAAGAAATACACTTCAGACTTGAAGAGAGAAGAACAAGACTCGGCCTCCAGCTCTGTGTGGGCAGAGAAGTCAGCCCTCTTAATGAATTTGAAATCCCCTCTGACTCACAATAATATAGAAAGAAATACATTTTATTTAATGTTAGATGAGTCTCACCATAAACACATAACGCTACACTGCATTCATCATTATATCATTATTAAGTGCTGTGATATAAATACACACACACACACACACACACACACACACACACACACACACACACACACACACACACACACACACACACACACACACACACACACACACACACACACACACACACACACACAGTATAAGAGGAGACTCAAGTGTCTTAACCTCAAAAGTCTGACTTTTAGATATAATAGCAGATGACGATCCTGACTACTAACTGATGCAACTACTGTTGCAACAACAAACAAGGGTTTGGCTAATTTATAGTTTTATTTGACAAATAAAAATAGGTAACATCTTAATTTGGTTAAATGTATGATTAAACTGTCAGAATTGGATGCAGTTATATGTATTGTGTTTCACATGACTTTGCTGTTCCACCTTATAGTGCATGTACAACATTCAGTGTGTTTATGGTGTTTTTATTATATTTTTGTCTGACACAGAGTCTGAATTTTTCAAAGAATCACAAGTATTCACAGGGCTGTAGTGTCCAAGGATAGGTGCTAAAAGAAATTTTCTGGGTACTCAAGACTCAAATGAAGTAGATTTTGCATATGTCTCCTTTAATACATTTAATTTTTAGTTCGAATGAACTGTTTCATAACATTCACCAAATGCAGTTGTGGTGGCTATAAATATATTAGCTAAGGATTGTCACACATTTAAGACAATGCTAACAGTCTTTACAAAAGGACAATATTATGTGCTTCGCATAGTGTCTGATTGGGTGTTAATGAACCATTTTATGGCTTCAATGTTAAATATATAATATATTCACTATCAGACTCTTACCATACAAGTTATTTCCTGTTATAAATCTGTGTGTAGAAAACACTAGGCGCTATTAAAAGTTGCAAGTGTTGCTTTAGTGATTTTTGTCTAAACATTAAATAGTTAACAGCTGCTGTACATCTGACAAATGCAGCACATCTCCTAAATGTGTCAGAATAAGATCTTTCATTTGTGGCTGTAGGATCTGACTTTGAGAGGTTTTAACCAGAATGCGTTGGCACCCATGGGAAATCTCCCTTTGGCTCGCATAAAGCTGGCCAATCAAAATAAATTGGGAAGACTCCTGTCACAGTGGTGTGCAGTTGCTCCACTATCATTTTTTCACTCCTGACCTGAGAAGCACGCACATATAAGGGGGAGGAGGTGATGTGCAAACTCAGCCTGACAAGACCATGATAAAATTCAGTCACTGTTAAATAAAATATTGTTTTATGAGATTTACCATGTTTTTTGTATACACATAAATAATTTCTACACCCTTCTCTTACTGAACAATATATGTGGTCATAAAGCCTGAGTAGTATCTTCATTGGGTTAGTAAACGTGACTGAACGTTCTACACAAGACACGTATCAGGCCAGGAAATAACAAGATCTTTCACTTTCCCCTGAGTGTGCGTAAGTGTTCTATGTTCGTTTATATATGTGTCTTTGTGCATTCTTCCACAGTGGCCCTCTCCTCTATAACCACTCTACTATGGGCAGGCATGGCTTTGATCCTGGGAGCCCACGCCTTTCACCCCTCCTTGACAATCCTCCAGAGGTCTTATTAACAGACACACTTCTCATGTTTTATTGCCTATGATAAAACTATGCCTCTGATCTCTCATTACAAACCTACTTGTTGGAAATAGGTTATGCATCCCCAGGCTTAATGCTGTCCTTTAATAGGGTAAAAATGTTAAATGCAGACAATACAGTCAGAACATGCAAGTCCCTGTACATTAATAACCCATCATACAGCCAGTTTCACTTGGTCCTGTGCTCATACATGCAGTATTTCAGAAAAAGAAGTGAAATATGTGTTCTGGAGACATGTGAATACTCCAATAATGTGTTTAATTTTGTTATGTTTGCTATAGTTTTACAGCAATACAGCCAAACATAGTTTCACATATTTGCTTGAATGAAGCTTTTAGTTTATAGCTGCCAGGATGTGGAATTGAATGGCACAGACAAAATAAAGTTGTGACCCTGTGGATGGGAGACACAAATACAAACTGCTGTTGGTGGCATATAGATGATCTTTGATTACACCAGGTCACATAACAAGAGTTTAACCAACACTTTTATATTGTCAGGGCTGAAAAGCAACTCATTACAAATACTCATGTTGCTGTAATTGAGTAGACTTTTGGAATAACTGTACGCTTTAAAATAGATTTTTAAAAAAAACTGTACTTGCACTTGTACTAGTAATTGAGTATAATTCTAGCCATGTAATTGTAATTATAGTTATATATTAAATCATAGAAGTTATTGAGTACTGTGCAAGTTCAAATTGTCCAAGCCAAGTCTCTTTCTGCTGCTCTCTATACAAACACACACAGCTCTGCATTCCTTGCACTGATTAGAGCTCAGAGAATATGCAGATTGTGATTTAAAATGACTAATTCAGTTTTACACTTTTTGACTGATCCAATTTTGTATAAAATTTATCTTAAATTTCTCTAAATTTGTTTTTAAAAAGTAACATAATACTCTGAGTACTATTTTAATGCATATTTTTACTTAAGTACAATTGCTGTCTTCTCTCAGCCTCTCAGACAGAAAGGAGAAATGGAGAGATGTTCACATGTTGCCTCCGACTGAGAAGCTCTGGGTTAGGGCCATATACTGTTGTGTTCCCAACTTATAAAACAGCACTTAATAGTGGAAAGAAGAGAAGACCAGGAGGCTGAAATGGCTGATGGTTCTGCTGCAGTGGTAGTGTAGAAGACAGGTAGAAGCATCATGACTCTGAGGCAGGAAGAG